ATAATTCAGTTAAATCAGAATTTTCGAGTGTTTCACCTTTTCAGATTGATCATGCTGGAGAAGAGGTTTGGCAGCGAAGCAAACAAAAAAAAAGACAGCAAGAAAAAACACGGAAGCGTGAAAAACTATATATATATATAATCCCTTGGTAAGTCACAATCGGGAAGACCACGCATAAAATGTTCTTTAATTAGAGACATCTGACGTTTCGGACCAAACTCGGTCCGTCTTCAGAGTACATTAACAAGGGCACGTAATATTTCTCCTTATACTACTGGTGCCGTGCTTGTTTATTGGCTTTGATTGACCGTCTGATGTTTACGGTCCATGTGTCGCTGATGTTTGTTCCAAGGTCACGGTTGATACAGTTAGTTGCTCTGATCAACAACGCTTCTTTGACCTAGCGGGAAAAATATTGTATATATATAACGCTGCCATGCACTTCGACTTCTAAAGTAACCCGGTACTTCCCGCTGCCTCTTTTCTACTGTGGGAACATCGAGATCGGATTCAGAAACGCATTGTATCGATACAAAGATTAAAATGCATTCGTTGAAGAAACTTTGCAAAACCACTGGATAGAACTAGCTTTCAAATCGGCCAATCAACTTTCAGCAACCAAAAACTTTTCAGACCAGCGCCAATGTTGCATTTTCCGTTAATGCTTCAACACTAGGAAGTTCAGACCAATCACTTAATACTGCCTGGCCGTCATTACCTTTTATCGTTGTCTAAAGGCATTGCAACAGGAAAGGAATAAATATTACCGGCTGTACGAAACGTCTCGTAGAAGTCACATTTCAACGAAAGAACCAGGTTATTATACATAGAAAAACGGTAACGAGTCCATTTACTAGTAATGCAATATGTCTGTCTTACAATGTAACGCAACCTAAACAAAAGGCCATGAACGGTCGTCTCACGTAATGGTTTGAAAGTTGTGTGCCACTGTGGCTTCATTCTTCAGAGTCGACTAACCGATGTACAAACGAAGGTACCGTAGGATAAACAGGGCAGATTGGTTTACTGCAAATGAACGAAGTCTACATAAGGAAAATGGGTAGCGCCATGGAACAAAAAGCAAAAAAAGCAGAAGGTAAACGTTTCGATTGTTGCCCCATAAAAAATTGCCAAGGAGGGAAGAATAAAGTAACAGATGCACAACTTTACGGGACGGAACAATGCTGACTTCAGAGAATAAGGCAATGCGCAAAAATGATGAGGTAAGAGAAAAACAATGCACCCTCTGGTTATCAAGACGGAATGAGAAATAACTCTGCAGTGGTACGATACATTCACGAGCCATGTACGGCTTTAAACGTGGATAATTTTAGTAAAACCCATAGGTTAAGCGACCCTGTTGAAAACATGAAGACTGTAAACTAAACTCCCGCCAAAAAGGGCCATGTTCAGTTTTCAAATTTAGCACCTCACAGTGATTATTCTCATGGTGTAAAATGCAAATATCTTTTATACAGATGACACAAGGCATGGGCTTTATCTATGAGAGAGATTACTAAGGCATTGCACTGCAAACCTTGGTTCGTCAGACATTTATGTCGTTTCTGCGTTTTCATGCTGTTATTCATAAAGTCAGAAGATTACCACACAAATGTTTCAGGCGAGCAGACTTTGGCCATCACCAGAGTAATATAAAGCAGGTTGAGCGGCAAAACGCACATTTTGTCAAATGTCTGTGAAACCCAACCTGACCTCATGCTCGGTTATGCAATTTTGTTAGTATATTTATAGTTGTCGAGGTCGGTTTGATCGATACGTTGGCCTATTTATCAAAGATCTCTATTTCCGTTTGTTCTGTCGGTCACGATCGATACAAAGCTGGGGATCCGCATGGCTTCAGTGTGTGTGGTGAAGGGAAGCGAAATGAGTTTAGCGCGAAAATATCAAAAATGCCCGTACGATGCTTCCGCACTGACGTCGTGCATTTAAGTATAACAGAGGCCACTGAACTGACCTAAATGTACCGCGAACGTAACCATGCAATGGCTCACATGAAACGCTGCTGAAAATGAGATCAAGGTTAAGCGGCGGATATCACTACGACTAATCAGGCGAACCGGTCAATCGATTCAAATATTCATAAATGACTTACATTATAAGACGGGAAGAGGAACGTTCAAGTTTGCGGCAGTACTAACCGTATGAGTTCAGGCGGATGGCGAAAATTACAGGCTAGAACTCATATCTGATTCATTCACCTTTAACCCGAATGAAGCATGGAAACGAGTACCGCCTTTATGGATGGAGAATTTTGTCTACCACCGAATTCTATCGCTGAATTACGCCCTTAATTTGACAATTGAAAGTTTCAACAAAGCTAAAGCATAGAAGCCACGTGTGCGGCAGATTCATGGTTGAGGGCATCAAACCCCTGAAGTGTCGACGCTTTTAATATCAACGCGTTTCGCCACACTCCATAGCATCGCCAGGGTGCAATCATGCCCTCAACGATGAATCGACAACGCATCTGTAGTTTCATCAACGGACCCAGAATCGAAAATGCTGGAGCCTATTTGAAGATGAGAGCACTCTTTGTTCACAGTTACTTGACACGTTTAACCTATTCTAATTAAAATTTGAAAATTTTATTGCACTCTTTTAGATGTCCCCTCGAACTGACAACACATTGGTCTTAGTCGCGAGTCTCGGCCAACGACAGTCGCTGTTTTCCTCAAAGTGGTAATAAACGAGTGCAAGTTTAAGCGTAGGTGGGGAAAGGAGACATAGATTGTGATTTTTACATAGCTGGAGATTGTGAAATAATCACAATTGCAATCCTATCATATGGCATCCAGTAGAAAGAAAGTGCGGTACCATGAAATTTCACAAACGGATTCTATAATGAAAGTCTGACCGAGATCGATAAACTGTCAGTTGCAAAATTTCCTTAATGAAGAAGCAGCAGCGAAGATTCGAAGGTTGACGCCTAGGCAAATGACGCTTTGAGTTTTCATGTTGCAGTCAACAAAGTTATGACCAGAGCCTCGCAATTTTCATAATAACTAATTATAAACTGGCACTTCACTGGTTCCAAATACAGCGCAACAGATGCATGCCAGTCTTTACTATAACTGCTGACGTTTCAACTGAACCACATTGGCCATCCGTAGGGCAAACAATGAGTTAGAGAAATCTGCGCCCAATGTGAACAGTGGGAGCGGTTGCACGGATATCGAACTCATTTTTTTGCCCTGAGGGTAAGAGAGTTCGATAGAAATGTCGGCAGTTCTAGCAAAGACTATAATCTGCCTATTTTGTTGTCCAGAACCATTGAAACGCCGCTTTAC